GTCATTGCGAAAAAATGAGTGTATACCAGCTAGTAAACCATTTTCTGTACCTAAATCTGTGACAAGATCAATTGGGCAACCATTACATGAAGCAACTGCCTCTAAATAGTACTTTGCTATGTTACTAGGGAGATTATTCGAACAAGTTACATGTAACCAAATAATCTTTCTACTCCAGCCATCTATGCATCCATGTATAGGAAAGCCAAATGGCTTAAGTTTGTCATAGCCATCACAGTGCCAGGCAAAATTTGGACCTAGGTTATGGTACACTCTCTGTTTCAAGCTATGCTCTCTGTGAGTCCTTCAGGGTCTATTTCTCGTAGTAACAGTTCCACCACTGGTTTTGGTACCCTAGTTCGACTGAGTTGAAGCGAATGCCAAATAGACCGACGATATTCACGAGAACTATGTGGACCTACAAGAAGTGCAACAGTCTTGTTTCGCACAAAATCTATATCATATTCCGGATTCTGTCTTCGCAAACCCAACTGCTTAATGCGTCGCTTTACTGTGCTCAGACTAATTTCTATACCGTGATATTGCGATAGAGAATGACATATATCAATATAGGTAAAACCTTTGTAAAAATAGTACGGGATTAACCTTTCTTCAGTTCTTCTTCGTTCTCCATTCAATTGTAAATTGTTATATCCAATTAATCAAACCATGTGATGAAACCGCTCTTCCATATTGTTTCCAGAATATTTTTCTTACACCAAGTATAGTTTGCCTTGCACGGATTTCTAATTAAAATTTTTGCCGTGAGGAATTGAAATTTTGCCGCGAAGACTTTTATGTTTTGCTGTGAGGAATTGAAATTTTGCCTTTAAGAATTGAGGTTTTGCCGTGAAGAATCGAGGTTTTCCCGCGAGGAATTGAAGTTTTGCTGTGAAGACTTTGATGTTTTGCCGTGAGGAATTGAAATTTTGCCATGAAAAATTGAGGTTTTGCCGTGAGGAATTGAAGTTTTGCCGTGAAGACTTTGATGTTTTGCCATAAAGAATTGACATTTTGTCGTGAAGAAATTAAGTTTTACGAAGAGAAATTAATTTTGCAGTGGAAAAACGTGTTGCTGTTGGGGATAGAAGTTTTGCGATATCTGAAGAAAGTCTTGCTGTGACACTTGTGGGCCACCGTAAAAGATGGCTTTCAGTGTTTTTGATAGAACTTTGTCAATTGCTCCAACAGCTGTGCTCTATCAGCCTTCTTACAACTGAGTTCACAAATTCTACAACTGACTCAGCAATAACATTAAGGTGATTTTTAAAAAGATTAAATATGACAGTGCAAAACTCATTCTTTTCCCAGTATTTGACTAACAAGTACGATCATACTATAGGGACCAGGAACTGCGTAACCGAGTTTAATTTCTGAACTGCATTGTATTTATAACAATGGAGAGGACACTGTATTTCTAATCGTTTCCGTTTTCTAATCGTTTCCGTTTACTTATATATAGGGTGAATATTAATTATATGTATATATTATTTGCTGCAAATATATCAAGAATTGCTTGTAACTTGCTTCAAAGGTCAAAAATAAAAATTCGAACTCCGTCAATCGATGCGGAATATTGCTTAGAATAATTGTGCCAAGTTTCATTCCGATCAAACAAGTAATGCTAGAGCCTTAGGGTTTTTTAAAGAGCGTCGCCCCCTAACAACAACAACAACAAGAAGATTAGCAGCGGTTAGGGACCAGTTCCTGGTCCAAAAAGAGCCAAATTAGAAGTGATTTCCTGTAATGATGGCGTCTGAAACAGTACATCATTACCCACATTCTAATAACGGATTCATAATAGTTATAAAAGTCGTTAGTTTTAAACAAAATTGAGTAAGAACATAAAACTGTAGGACAATAATTATCCAAGAAATTTAAAAGTGTGCCATACTGTACATCTTTGCACTTGTGAAAAACAGCTTTAACACTTCTCCTGATAAGTGTCCATCCACCATAAATAATTTCAAGAATGAACTGAATTCTCCAAGGCTTTGGTTTGCAGCTTTTATTTTTAATAGCATCATCCCTATGATTGCACATTGAAATAAATATATACTTAATCAAATAAATATATAAACTTACCAGAAATAGTTGGGTAAGAGCCTGCTTTCTTGAAATAGAGTTTCTATACATAACATACAAGTTTAGAACATAGAGTTTAAGAATACTCAAGTGTGATGATATTAAAAAAATACATACCTGCTTCAAAGTTGTCAGGAAGATCTTGCACACCAATACACACAAATTTTTCGCGCGTAGCACAGCTCACAAAGGCATTTCTCCTTTGAACCTGGATTAATAAACCCAGAATTCAAGGACTTCTTTCCGCAAATACAGCAAGGAAATTTAGACCTCATGCTGATACAGTATGAGTCCTTAAAAAGACTGTTTATAAACCTATAAACTCTGACCAGACAAGGTAAAATTACCGAAATACAACAAGAATTGAATGACAACCAGTTGAACCTTCTGGGTAGTCTAGACAAATATGGTAGCAAACACTAGAAAATGCTATCGGTCGCTTGTTTAAAGTACAAAGAAGAGATGTTACATTACCGTACAACATGGCCCAGGATGAAGAGCAATACAATTACATGTGGTCGCCATTATTTTTAAGATAAAATTGAAAAAAAAGACTACTAGTTAATGCCTCAATTGATAAAGAACACCTATCTCTCTTTTAAACTGCATTATAACGATACTTTCATCAATATTTTGCAGTAATTCAAAAGAACACGTACAATTCACTCCTCTTCAACCGGCTGCCATGTTATGATTTCCATAGCAACCACACAATTACGTCATGTTAAAAATCAACGAATCAGACAAATGTTGCCTTTGTTGGTGTCAGGTGGCCCTGGGCATGACCTTGTTGACTGTTGTGCCCTTGTTCATACCAGGTTTCTTAGCTCACAGGTATGTAACATACAAGGAATTGTTGGAACATCCAGCTGCTAGTAGAATTTTGTTCTTACATGTATACATTTATTTTGTATACACCCACTCCCAGAGATCAATTATTTCTTTCTTTTATTCCTATTTTAAGATTTTCAATTCATGCAAAGTGAACATGCAAGATTAGACATTTGTGTCTAGCTGTTTAATTGCCCATGATTTACAATAGGTACTAATTCTGCCTATCTCTATTAGTATATTCTGCTGATTTACAATTGTGTATCATGAACATTTGATTTGTAGACAAAATGTAGTGTACATGTAATATGGTATACTCGAATTTATTATTTTTTACGAAATTGTATAGAGAAAATATTTCCAAACTTGTCACATTCTACAACTCAAATAAGAAAGATATGCGGATAGTGTTAGACAAAAACCTGCATGTCACAAAGCAAGAGAATAAAAATATTATAGAAAAATTAAAAATAATAAATATGCAGGACTTGAAATACCACTTAGACATCCTTACACACATATTATTGTACATCTAACGTAATCCTATAGTGTCCGCAGTCTCAATAATCTTGCTTGCAGTTTTCATAATGTTGTTCGCTATAGGTTTTACGCTGTTATCGTTATGAATTATCTTACTTGTGCATAAAATAAATGAGTGAGGAGAATATAGAAACAGACTTATGCAATGAGTTTGTAACATTGTCTTAAAAAGGAGAAATTAAACACTCCACTGAAAACATAAAAAAAGCAAACCAAGACGTGTTAGAAAAAATTAAAAGAGTATGATAGAAAACAGTTAGACGCAGCCAACAAATTTATATCAGAAAACCTGCTATCAAAGTTCGCCGAGCTCATACATTAATCTTGGATTAGTATGCGAAAAAGAAAATATGGAAAAACCAATTATTACAAAAGGATTTAAAAAGCATTGTAGGACAAATAACGCCCTACGTCCCATGTATTAGTCTTCTTTGCAGTGGGGTAGTTGTGGTTAAACATATTTTCAACGCCAATAAAAGTAATGGGGAACAAAAACAGCAAACAGAAGAAGAACAAGATAATAAATGAAGAAAAATTATTCAAATGTTGTCTAGGTTTTGGAAAAGGAAAATATAGAATGGAAGGAAATTTCCAAATGGGATTTACTAGAAGGCGACGAACATTGTCCGCCAAGTTCTCGGGTTTGACTATTTGAAGCAAATGGTTTTGTTGCTGCATTGTTGCTTTTTTAGCGTGATTATTGATAAAGCCACCGATCGAAGTGTCAAAAAGCAACTTGCGATTGTTGCCACGTTTTTTGACATGGAAAGATTTGAAATGCAGTACTGGCTGGTCAACATGCTGAAAATGGCAGTGCAAAGGGTATCTACTCCAAGATGAAAGAGGCATTCATTGACATAAATATTCCAATGAGTAACGTTATTGGTTACTCGTCTGACACAACTAACATGTTCGGACAGTACAACTCTGTGTTGACCTTCCATTCAACGAGTACTGGTTAGCGATACTAGATACAAAGACACCAATAGGTGAAGCAAAGTACCCCAATCTATAATCTAATTTGTTGCCATTCTCTCTTCGTTACCTTTTGCCAATGCTGCAGTGGAGAGTTTTCAGTCAGCTGGTCAAGACGGATCACAGAAATTTATTGAAGTTGACATCTTTAGTCTCATTGCGCCAAAGTAAACTAAGCTTGACAAATTGGCACATTACTGCAGAGCCAATCTAAAGCCAAGCAAAGATCTCTTGCAACTTGCCGGATATATGTAATCGAATGCTACAGAGGAGCAAGTGATACGACTAAGAAAGGACTTTCTTAGTAAACTTCCTTGATTATATAGAATGTGTACATCCAGATAATGAGATAAACAAACTTATTCTGTCTCTCGGCGAAGCCAAGCGCGAAACATGTTGAAACAGTAGCCAATACAGTCTTATAGTACTTATTGAGGTACTGATAAAATTGAACATCATTGTTTTTTTGATAAAAGGCTGTTTTGGAGCATATTCAACATAATTTGTACAAGTAATATTGTCCAAGTTATGAGTGTTTTAAACCGTGCTCTGGCGAAAAAAATTGAAATATGGCTGAAGCGCTTTGTATGTTCGATAGCAGCGAAGAAGAAGATTTTGAGGGCTTTTTGATCGACGAAACGGTTGAAGAGACACAACCGATTGCAGCGGGAACATCAGCGATTACGTGGCGAGAAATAGTGGGCGACTCAGACGAAGAAGATTTTTTTGGTTTTTCGAACATTGAAGTTGAAGAGATTGAAAGCAAAAGCGATAGCGAGAGTGATAGTGAGAAAAGTAGCGACGATTATATTGATATTTTTGAATGGAAAGATAATTTAAGTAGTGTAAATGTTGAAGACTTCACGGCCGACTTTGGTCCTTGTTATGGGTTGGGTCAAGATGCTACCCCTAAAGACTTTTTCGACTTGTTTTTCGGCAATGAATTTCTTGACCATGTTGTGCATGCTACTATTTCCTATGCTTGTTCAAAAGGTGACCAAAATTTTTCGACCGACCGCGATGAGATGTCTGCATTTTTTGGATTGAACATTTTAATAGGCATCAACCGCCTACCCAGAATCAGTCTCTACTGGGATTCAGATATATTTTTGGGAAATTCTGGCTTCAAAACTACAATCCCTTTGAGACGGTTTTGGATTTTGAAAAAATATTGTCACATTTCGGACCTGCGACAAGAAAATGCAACCGACGAACTTACAAAAATTCGGCCCCTGATCTCAAAGCTCGAAAACACTTTTCAAAATGCTTATTTACCAGGAAAGGATGTTAGCCAATTCGGATACCTACTACGTGCCGCATTTTCAAGTTTACCTAGGTAAACAACAAAATGACAACGAAATTTTTTTCTTTGGTGCAAAAAACTATGCCTCAGAAGTCACATAATAATTTGAAGCAAGTCAAAAATCAACTCTTGAAAAAAACGTTTTTTTAATTGTTTAGCAATGCAAAATCTTTAATATTTAAAATCCAAGCTTTAGAGGTATTTTGAAATATAAAACTCAAAACAAAAATTGTTGAAACATCAAAATTTTAGGGAAATCTGGCTTTTGAATATTCATTACCCAAAAATAGCCCAAAAAAGTTTTAAAAATCAGAGATGTGGAAATTGTGTTGTCTTGAAAATAATTTTTTAATGGATGTTTCCCTTATCATTTAAATAAAAATTAAACCCTATATATTAATCTAAATGTTTCCTAAATTTCAAGAGGTTTTATTCATTTGGCAATGAGTAACAGCCATTTTTGTGAAGGGAGTCATTACTTGCTAAAATCGGCCATATTGTTTGCAACTTAATGAAGAAGTTAAGTTATACAGTTTGTTCTTGAAGCACAAAATGATATGTGTGATCATATGCCTGTACTTCAAACTGTCTTGTGTTAAACTGTGGTGTATGTGTTATTAACAAGGCCCTGCTCAACTGAAAATGTTGAATTAATTTATAAAGTATGCCTTTATGTATTTTACAGTATGCACTAAAATGATGATCAAATAGTTGAATAAATACATCTTTTATGTAGGCTATGTCAGGAATGCCAAAGTAGGCGAAGGTAGAAATTGAGAAAAAGATGGTGGCACAAATGACCAAAGTGTTACATGGATCAAGAAATGGCATAGCATCTACAGTGTATTGTAATGAGCACTAATACTGTACATTAGAAGTTATGCGAAAACAAGGTTAATCAAGTGGTATGTTACATGACTGTGCGTGCCCACACAAAGGTTAGTCAGCTGATAGAACTTACCCATTCTCAGAGATACCTGAAAAGTATCATATTAAATGTAATATAAAATTTTTAAACTGTAACATCACATATAATACAATACTTTTCAAAATAGTATATAGTAATTTCAAATATATATACTGAAATAAAGTGGTCAAACAGCTTGGGTTTTTTGTCACCATTGACATTGGTCACATGTGAATGTTAAAATCTATCTATTTCATTCAAAATGCAACTGATAAAGTATTGATTGAAAATATTGACATATATTGAAAAGACCTACATTTGTTTGTCTACCCACATGGCATACCCCAAAACTAATTGTAAACATTCTAGCATGTGTTCAGCCTTGTTCTTTTCAAGAAAAAGAAATTTTAACTTGTGATCAATTTTAACTTGTGGCCAGGTATTCTAAAGTTAAGAATTATTACCTGTTGGAAAATTTGAAATAAAAAAATATTGTCCATAAATTTGTGCATGGCACCACAGCCAGATCAGGCGACTTGAGCAATCACTTGATGGTAAGAGTGTATAGATGGTAAGAGAGAATGTATATTATTGCACTTACCTGATCATTTTTACAGCTTCAAGATCAGCCACATAACATAGCTTTTCAGGTGAGGGGACAAATTCCTTTATAATTGGAAAACAATTTAATATTATTTCGATAATTGAGGGATAACTTAATGTCAGACGCAACTCTTCAGTTGTGTGCAGTAAAGAAATTATGTACAATGTAAAACTTGTATTTTAGTAAATTCAGATTGATGATCACCTCTTTGCATTTAAGTTTTAATGTGGCAAGCTTTGCATTAATCACATTCCCAATTGGATGTCCCTTTTTAAAGTGCTCTCAAAATTCCAGCAGGATAGTGAAGGTAACCAGCACTTTATCACTAATATTGAAAAGACCTAAACAAAATATAGATTTAAGAAAGTTCTCCCATTTGGTATACAAATACAGAAAATTCATTTTAAACAACTCTCCACATGCCATAAATGACTACTGGTTAAATATATGCATGAATACATTTCAAAATCAAATTTATTTCCATATATTACCAGTATAAAATTATTTTTTATTTTGTATTTTCTTACATATTCAGCTTGCCATGGTTATGCTGGCAGTTGGATTGAAAATTCAGCCTAGACTGAAAATTGCCTATTATAAAAAGTAATTCAGTATAGCCGTCCATGATCTCATCCATAAAAAGTTATACTACATTTTACCAATAACTGATAGACTTACCATAATCAGAACAAGAGCACGGTTCATTGCTTTGCACAAAGGATTCAGATTTTCACAAAGATATCAATTTTCGTGAAACAGCACAGGCCTGATATCAAATATGTTGATCCACGCTGACCACTCTGCCTAATTTTTCCGCCAAGATTTTCCCCACAAAGACGGCAATTTTCATTACCTGGGCAGTATTCCTTGGGCCAACCACCAGTGATTCCAACCATGGAGCAAGCGTCCTGCTGCATTATATGACGTAACATTGTCCGTAGAACATTGTAATAATATTTAGCTTCTACTTGTGCTAGACGGATTGTTGAAACCCTGCCCTGCGACTCCTCTTCACAATCATCCCCATCGGGCACAGCTGGTCTTTCGTCTGTTGTTGTAACCTCATGATTTTGATCATGCACATTAATAGCAGAAAAGAGGATGTGTTGGTGTAAGCAAATCGCTTTGGTCCGTACATGTTTTCCCTTAAACGAAATCCCTTTGCAATCCTTGCCGCAAGATACAAATGAACTCCTTTTCTCAAAAAATTTTATGTGGCAGTAGCCAACTGTGTTACTTGCCGTTGGACGACCATAAACACAATACATGTTGTACGACACTTTCGCCACAATTGGGTAAGAATTTGCAGTCATATCAAGCACAGCTGCAATTTCATCTTTCACTTGCTGGCTACATGGATATTTATCCAGGCTTAGATTAAGGATCTCTTGAGGGGAAACTGGATTTGATGCCTTTTCAATATGCATACATGAAAATTCTTTGAAAAAGCCCTGAAGCATGATACGCAGAACAGTTTTGTTTGCACTTCTTGTGAAGGCACATCCACATTTCGCCATCTTTGCACACCAAACATCATCCAGTGGTTACTGGTGCGCACAGAGAGAGTATTTTCCGTAATTCCCGTAGGCTTTTTCTTGTTTTTTTAGCCCCTTCAAAGCTTCCACCAAGGTCACATTCATAATTAGGGCATTTTGGAGGTTTGTGTCTGTTGACATAAGTAAATCTCTTACATGAGGGGCAGGTGCCAGTACCACGATTTGACCACGTTTTGCCTTCCATGATCAAGGCTGCTACAATATTCCATAAAAAACAGAATAGTATAGTACGTTTATATTGCTGATTTTTAATCACCAATGATTAGAAAGGTTATAGATAAACTAAGGGTAATTGCAACAATGTAATTATTTTGCTTTGAGCCTTGACTTATCACTGTTATCATCGCATGTCATCATTAGTAAACATATTGACATATTATGAGTACTTTAAGGACTTACCATAAAATATCTTTTAGTGTGACAGTGCCCAAGCCTTTTGATTGTTTTTTGGATGTTTTATTGACCTTTATTGATGTGCCGTTTAGACACAGACAAAGAGATTATACTAGATGCACAACTACACGGTTTTATTAACTTCTCAAATTACAAGTGGCGCTTTATATAGCTGAGAAGTTCGTTGCGCGCTTTGTTTATACCGATTAGAGGATTTGTTTCACAGTGATCGGTTTCATTGTTGAACTACAAGATCAGATGGACCATACTCCTATACATTACTATTTATGACAAATATTTTGATTTTCTAAAAATGACATCCCAACGAAACGCCTTATGTATATGCGCTATACACACTGAGAGATTGTTGGATTCATTAACTTCTCAAATTACAAGTGACATCCCAACGAAACGCTTTATGTATATGTGCTATGTATATAGCTGAGAGATTCGTATAGCTGAGAAGTTCTATGTGTGTAGCTTAGAAGTTTGTTGTTCGCTTTGTTTATCACAATTATACGAGACAGCGTATATTTTGCGTTTTTCATGGCGTGAATTTACAGCGCGGGCATTGTAGGAGCTACCTCAACCAATCACAATCTTGCAACTCTTCCCAACGCTTAATTACACCCTGGCCGATCAGATGCATCGTTCTTCACGCTGAAGGTCTACTGAACTGTGGATCTAGAGCAAGTTAGGACTGCGATTGAATAGGAGTTAAATGGGCCTGGAAAAGTACTCGGATATCATCCTATGCACCAAAAAATCCACCAAGTTCATCATCTAAATGTCCCTAGGCACCTTGCACACAATGTAGTGTACGACCTTGGTCCGGATAGCCTAGAAGCAAGTGCTTTAGGAAAGAATAAACATGGGCATTTCATGTCTAAGGGACCAAATTTTGTTCATTCCCTCAATGGACATGCAAAGCTCATGGGATATCCGAGGGACACATTTCCTCTTGCTATATACGGATGCTTTGAAACTGCTAGCTGTAAATTGTTTTGGTTAAAGATATGGACAAGTCACTCAGATCTGATGATGGTATTTTGACCACATTTATAAAACAAAAACCATAGCCTCGAATATTCGTATAGATAAAGGAACAGAAACAGGAAAAATGGCAACATTACACTGTTTTTTTTTTGCATAGACAACAAGGCGACATGGAGGATCCCCTGAATTCTGTTATTTATGGACTCTCTACCTCTAATCAGATATTTATAGCTTTGCTGTAATCGTACATTTGCATTTAGTAATGCCACTCTATTTTTATCATGCTATTGTATGTATTGTTTCATTTTTGTAGATAGAGCGGTGGTGGCATGACTACACGAATGGCTTGAAAAATTTTACAAAGAATGTTTAAAGTAATTACTTGATCAATGTACTATGATCCCCATAATGAACTGGACAGGTGGGCCTATTGTATTGAGTGTCATTACTCTACTATACAGGGTGTATAAAAAAAAATGTCCCAAATGTAAAATTTCCGTTTTTCAAGATATTTTGCAGAATTTGGCAATTTTTTTTCTGTTCCTAGAGATAGTTAAGACTTATCTGGTATACCTAGGCCAAGTTTGGTTTTTCATTAACAAAATTATGTTACCGGGGGGGGGTAGGATTCCTTCTCACTGATATTGAGAGGGCTTGCGCACGAAAATGTGAAGCCAAAATTGAGATATTATTTAGCTGTCTAAAAGTAGGAAAGCTTTTAAATAAACTGTCAAAGTTTCAGGAAAAATAATGCAAACTGGGAGCAACGCGCGACTCCTAAAAGTGACAAATATTTCATTGTGCACAGTGGATTAAATGCATCGTTGATTTTAGCGTGACCGATCTCATGCAAGGCTGGGCAAATGAATAAATTAAAGTGAGAAACTGAACAAGAAGACGAAGCGATTTAATAACAAGATTTTTATTCTTGATGTTAATCCTCAACATTTCCACCATTTCTTTCTAAGCAAACTGCGGCTCGTCTGAACATGGTAAACACTGAACGGCGAACCACATTTGTCTGTCCTGCCTCAAATTATCCATTTCGTTCGAAATTCTTTCTTGCAAATTGCCTATACACTACCACCGGCAAATCTAGGCGAATGGACAGACAAATGGTTCGCTGTTCAGTGTTTAGTATGCTCAGACAAGCCGCAGTTTGCTTAGAATGAAATGGTGGACATGCTGAGGATTAACATCACGAATAAATCGCTTTGTTTTTGTGTTCAGTTTCTCGCTTTAATTTATTCATTTGCCCACCTTGTATGAGATCGGTCACGCTAAAATCAACGATGCATTTAATCCACTGCGCGCAATGAAATATTTGTCACCTTTAGGCGTCGCGCGTTGCTCCCAGTATGCATTATTTTTCCTGAAACTTTGACAGTTTATTAAAAAGCTTTCCTACTTTTAGACAGCTAAATAATATCTCAAATTTAAGCTTCACATTTTCGCGCGCAAGCCCTCTCAATATCAGTGGAAAGGAACCACCCCCCCCGGTAACATAATTTTGTTAATGAAAAACCAAACTTGGCCTAGGTATACCAGATAAGTCTTAACTATCTCTAGGAACAGAAAGATTTGCCAAATTCTGCAAAATATGCTGAAAAACGGAATTTTTACATTTGGGACATTTTTTTTGATACACCCTGTATAGTATTTTTATTAGTGAAGCAGATTTAAATATTCAGGGTTATTATTTGTCATAAGAAGGTCACTCCTGGCATATCTTTTTGTTCCTTTGCTTCAAAAAGAACTTGATGTGTTCAAAGAATCTGTGTGGAACACACATCGGATTAGACATCAGAGAGACACGTACTTGCCTGATGGTGTCCCTAATCATGTCTACTCATTTCCCAAGGAGTATGGGCTTGAGGAATGTGGTAAGTCACAAATAAGAGCAATAACAGCAGATTAAATACTGTAGCATATAAGGAAGGGAGAATGAAATTTGATTCTGGGGCATGCAATAAATCCCATTATTATTTACGTAAAAGAAGTCACAGCCTCTGATTGGCTAGTAGCCATGTGTGAACACATGTGCGAACACATAATATGAAGAATTATTACTACTTAGTTTGTCTTTATTAACCTCAGCCTTTGGTTTATAACCGCAAACGTCTAGCCACCCTGTGGCACATTGTTCAAGAATACTAGAAAGCATAATAAATTTAGGTTTGAAAGTCACAAATGAACAACTCAAAAAAAGCAGGTATACAATGTGGGATTCTTTACAATGTTGACTAATTTGGATCAAACCTGTAGAAGAGAATGTGAACAACTCATTCCCAACGCTGATCAAGTCAAACCAAACGAATGCAAAGATGTTTTTTTTTTCTTAAAAGACAAGTATTAAGAACAACATTGACATTTTATATTTATATAGTCATATGAAGTTATTATTGTTTTTAGGCATTATTAGGCAGTGTAATGATATGTTAGTCTGGATTCCAAAACTGAGGTGGCCCAATACAGTTTTGAAAATATCAGTTGTTCATCATTCTCTCTATTGTTTTGGCTGCACTTGTTTAAAATAATGATGGTTAACAACTTCACTGGCAGTTCAATGTAAATATAAGGTTGGGTTTACACATATTTTTATGCTTCATAATTCTTGAGCAAAATTTTGTTATTGCTAATTTTCTGTATTGATCTGCCTAAAAGAAGTGTTCTCTATAAAATTATTAGAAACACTCTATTTTGTTTGTAATACCAATACATAAAAACAATACAACCAAAAGTTAACATTTGAACACAACTTCAAATAACATATATAGAAAGAGATTTTTAGGATTCATAACCCCCAAACTATTTAGTTATCTTTTCTCAAAAAGTAAACTATAATGCAGGCAAAGTAAGTGCTTTGCAATATTTGTTGCATGTGTGATCCTTTTTGAAGGCCTAAAAAAGGCTTAAAACAATACAACCAAAAGTTAAAATTTGAACACAACTTCAAATAACATATATAGAAAGAGATAGAACTTTTCAGGATTCATAACCCCACAAACTATTAAGTTTTCTCTTCTCAAAAAGTAAACTACAATGCAGGCAAAGTAAGGCCTGTTTCATATGTCGAATTTAATTAAAAGGAATTTAATTCCGAATTTATTTCGTCAATTGGTCAAATTAATTTGGCTTCATTTCAAACAACGAAATTTATTGAGAAGAATTACTATTCCAACAAGACACTTTGTATGATGGTTAGTTATCCTGAATAAAATCAGAAAAGAAAGACAAAGACGACAAATTCGTCAAGCTATCCTGATTTTGTTTAATGTCAAATGAAGGTTTACAATTCTAATTTGATGGAAATTATCTGTATTATTGCATAATCTCCCTGTTGTCGCCAGTTGAGGTAACACGAGTAACATTTGGTAATATATTAAACAGTATTTGCCAAGACCTTGACAAAAAAACTATTACGGAAGTCCCTATATCACCTGAATGAAGACTTGCAATATGTTTGTATAGATTAGAAAGAGGGGATTATCTTTACACCATTGCTGAATTGTTTCGGATAGGAGTTTCAACTGTATAAAGTATTGTTCTCGAAGTCTTTGATGGAATTGTGAAAAATCTATGGAAATCAGCAGTAATGGACCTGTTCCCTTCCAATGATGAGCAGATGACTACAAAAATCATTGATATGGAACTGTTTTGGCTATTCCCTGGGGGGTATTGATGGTTGCCATCTGCCTATAATTTGCCCAAATGGTGGCCAAGAAGCAAGAAGGGAATATCTTAACTCATTAAGTGGCAGACTTTTGCAATAGTTCTACCCCACTAAGTTGCAAACAATATGGCCGATTTTAGCAATTAATGACTGCCTTCACAAAAATGGCTGAAACTCATTGCCTAATTAATAAAATCCCTTGAAATTTAGGAAACATTTAGATTAATATATAGGGTTTCATTTTTATTTAAATGATAAGGGAAAATCATTAAAAAATTATTTTCAAGGCAACACAATTTCACATCTCTGATTTTTAAAACTTTTTTGGCTATTTTTGGGTAATGAATATTCAAAAGCCAGATTTCCCTAAAATTTTGATGTTTCAAAATTTTTTTTTGAGTTTTATATTCAAAATACTTCTAAAGCTTGGATTTTAAATATAAAAGATTTTGCATTGCTAAACAATCAAAAAAGTTTTTTTCAAGAGTTGATTTTTGACTTGCTTCAAATTATTTTGTGACTTCTGAGGCATAGTTTTTGCACCAAAGAAAAAAATATAGCCAAATTGACCTATAAATATAGGTTGTCTAACACTGATTTTGAGCTCATTATATTAACAGAAAATTCATCATTGATATAATATAAATTTGAGTAAAATAAGTAAGCCTGTGAGGGAAAAACATGAGATTTTACTAGCGTGCTATAACGCGGCTTTCAGAAGAACTGCATTTCAGGGCTTCTTTTTTCGGCAACTGCCTGGCAAAAGGCCAGTTTTTTGTTTTTTATATAAACTATTTATTTTTTTAAAACAAGATAAAAACCATAGAAGATTTTGTCTATAGATTAGACTAAATTTATTCATGCCATTCATTAAAACAAGCTCTTAATCTACAAAGGTTTACATTACATTGAGCACATTTATAAACGCTCTCAAAAGTTCTACCCGACGCACGCTTTCTTCCAACTTTCGCACACATCACACACGCTCGTTTTCGCTCTGAAGACTTCACTAAACTATGGCCTTTGACATTTTGACCCACAGGAGTTTCTTTTTTACGGCTAGTCGGACCGCTAGAAATTCTCTTGTAGCCGTTATAGGTCGAAATAAGTTGCCTTGCCAGGGCAAGCCGAAACTCTAAGTGTTTCAACCGATTGCGTCGATCAGTCTGCAAATTTTGGAGAATATACGCGTTTACGATTGAAATATTAACGAAAAACCAAGTCAAATACTTCCACCATTTTTTTGATGGAGATCCGACAGGGTAGTAGCTCCTATATTGGTCGTTTACGTCCACGCCGTTCATATACTTATTGTAAACAGATATGACGGCGGGTTTTTTCGTTCTTCTTCCGGCACGGCTTTTGTTTTTCCAGTGCGCTCATCCAAAGGGCCGAAAACTTGGGGCTCGGGATCGACATTGGTCGAAAGAATCGTAACTAAGCGCTTATCTTGCCAAACCAAACAAACCGAATTACCATTTTGCCTAGTTCTAATTTCACCTCGCTTGAGTTTTATGTTTTTAAATCGACAGGAAAGTTCTTCCTGTTGTGGCGCAAGGTCGAGCATGCGTAAGTTTTGTTTTCCAACAAATGCTGAAGCAGGGAGATCGAAGAAAAATAATTATCGAAAAGAAATGTCGGTAATCATTAAAGTAGGGTTTTCCCAGAAAATCAACGACTTTGAAACCGAGACCTTGCGCCTTTTCCGCATCATTTTGTTGTCATTTTGTTGTTTACCTAAGTAAACTTGAAAACGCGGCACGTAGTAGGTATCCGAATCGGCTAACATCCAAACTTTAATACCGAATTTGTTTGGCTTTTTAGGCATATATTGCTTGAAAGATAAACGACCATTGAATTTCACCAAACCTTCGTCAATCGAAATATTTTTTCCTGGTACATAAGCATTTTGAAAAGCGTTTTCGAGCTTTGAAATCAGGGGCCGAATTTTTGTAAGTTTATCGGTTGCGTTTTCTTGCCGCGGGTCCGAAATGTGAAAATATTTTTTCAAAATCCAAAACCGTCTCAAAGGGATTGTAGTTTTGAAGCCAGGATTTCCCAAAAATATATCTGAATCCCAGTAGAGACTGATTCTGGGTAGGCGGTTGATGCCTATTAAAATGTTCAATCCAAAAAATGGAGACATCTCATCGCGGTCGGTCGAAAAAATTTGATCACCTTTTGAACGAGCATACGAAATAGTAGCATGCACAACATGATCAAGAAATTCATCGCCGAAAAACAAGTTGAAAAAGTCCTTAGGGGAAGCATCTTGACCCAACCCATGACAAGGACCAAAGTCGGCAGTGAAGTCTTCAACATTTACACTACTTAAATTATCTTTCCATTCAAAAATATCAATAAAATCGTCGCTACTTATCTCACTATCACTATCGCTCTCACTCTCGCTTTCAATCTCTTCTACTTCGATGTCCGAAAAACCGAAAAAATCTTCTTCTTCGTCGTCCGAATCGCCCGCTATTTCTCGCCACGTAATATGAAGGAAGACATCGAATTAAATTGCATGTAATCTATGGCAGAAACCACTTTCTTTCTTGTTGCCATTTTGAATTTCACACAGTTATCACCGCTGCTCACTTTTCGGCAAGTGTGGCTCAAATGCAAGGTGGAATGTTGAGAAGGGTATAACAGTATATGAACCAATATCGAAAGAAACTACTAAATATCATAGCCAGAAATTAGCGGAATTGCGCAATTTACGAGCTTAACTGCCAAAATAGCATAATTTGTATAAACAATAATAAGAAGTGAGGTGAATAAGCTTAAATTAAGATGGCAAGATGCTTAAAATCCAAAGAAACGAAAGTTTTTTCTAGTCAGCGACATGCTTACGATTAACTAGAACTAAAAATTATACTATCTGTGTGCAAAAAAAATGTCCCTGAGAAATTTTTAAATGTGACTAATCAATACATATTAGTTAACAGCATGTGTTGTTGAAAGCAGAATTCCATGTCGATTTAAACCCTAAAACCACCATTTTGTTGAAGTGTTATTAGTGTTAGTGTTATTCTTGAATAATATCAAAACACAAAGTCTTTAAACACATTCCTAATGTACCTAAATACCTAATGTACCTATACTGAAGTTCCGGTTCTTCATGATATTGAATATGTAAGAATATGAGTCCGGATCACCCAAATCTATCAGCGGTTATTATCATAGACATGGTAATTTTCAAAATAAAGTACGAAAAATGAAGTAAATACAACCTGTTCCGCTGCTATGCCATGGCTACTGATCATGGCTACTGATCATGGCTAGCGAGTGTAAATTTCACTTGATCCTGGTGTAAAATTATTAAGTGGGGAAGCTGTAGCAGTTAAGTGAAAATCCCTCAGGAGATTTTAATTCATTGGCATAAATTAAAGCATAAAGGACACAACCTTTTATATGTAAATTTTCTAAAGAGTTGCAAGGTACTTCCATTCTGAGTTGTGCCAAATTCTTGCCTGGAGACACAAATCGCCGATGTAGCTTGGCTAGCCAAAAGGGAATGTCATGGAAAAAGCGGCAGTAAAAAAAAGAAGCTTTTAAAGAAAAAACGTCAAATGAAATATGCAAAGCAGATATTGATCGCCTGGAACCAGCACAACAACATGCAGACGTCGCACATAGAGAAGAAAGTCCAGCACTTCAAGACCTGGAGATGAGATGCCCTGAACTATTTTCAGAATTAGTTAAAGGAAAAGACTACGAGTGGCCATCACCACCCAAAATACACCAAATGTAAAACGGTCAAGCGTATTTTTAATCGGTAAAGACAATACAGGAACGGAATGTTACACACTGAAATGGCCCAGCATTCATTCGTAGATTGGAACATACAAAACTGAAACGACCAAGACAAATTTGCAATGGTTGACCAATCAATGTACAATTGGCATAGCGTAAACTAAATCGGCACAGCGTAAACTAAATTGGCACGGCGTAAACTGATTTGGTTTAGCCACCTAAAGTGAATTGGTGTAGCGTAAACTGAATTGGTTTAGCGTAAACTGAATTGGTATAGCGTAAACTGAATTGGTATAGCGTAAACTGAATTGGTATAGCCCTTATAGCGTAAAATGAATTGGTATAGGCTGTTTAACGTAAACTGAATTGGTATAGTGTAAACTGAATTGGTTTAGCGTAAAGTGAACTGGTGTAGCGTAAACTGAATTGGTATAGCGTAAACTGAATTGGTTTAGCGTAAAGTGAATTGGTGTAGCGTAAACTGAATTGGTTTAGCGTAAAGGGAATTGGTGTAGCGTAAACTGAATTGGTTTAGCGTAAAGTGAATTGGTGTAGCGTAAAGTGAATTGGTGTAGCGTAAAATGAATTGGTATAGCATAAACTGAATAGGTGTAGCGTAAACTGAATTGGTATAGCGTAAACTGAATTGGTGTAGCCTAAAAGTTAATTGGTTTAGCATAAAGTGAATTGGTGTAGCGTAAAGTGAATTGGTATATCGTAAACTGAATTAGTGTAGCGTAAGCTGAATTGGTATAGCGTAAATGGAAATGGCGTAGCGTAAACTGAGTTGGTGTAGCGTTAACTGAATTGGTGTAGCGTAAAGGGAATTGGCGAGATAACAGGATATTGATGTATACATGTTCTCACTTAGTTATGCCTGGGGCATCATGCGGAGATGTATACAGCCCGCTCGCAGGGTAAGATTAATTGTCCTGTTTGAGCCTGAGCCTGATCAATTTTAAAGTCAATTTTACATATCTGGATCAGCCAGGTAAGCTTTTGTTTGTATTTATAAAATATTCTGCTTCGATCTATAGTGACAGAATATTTTATTACATGTTCTGTAGTGAATTTATTTTCTAACGAAATGGCAATATTATTTGCATATTGTTCATGCTTGATTGCACATCCTATTTCATTTGCATACACATTTAGAGTTTAATATCGTCCATACATTACGGATATTACTTTTATTTTGAAAATAAAAATCTTTGTTTAACAAAATATTTCAAATTTTGCTCCAATAGGTTGGGGGATTGGACAAGATTAGTCAGGTCATCATGCCTTGGGGCTGGTCTGGCAATAGTTAAGTATGGATATATTAAAAAGGTATGTCATCACATTTCCATGAGGTTGGGGTGGGGGGTTACAATTCACAAGTGCATCACTACATTTAAGTGAATACAAAGTAGAGTAGTCTTTGATTTATATTTCAGTAAAACATTACAAACTGCTAGATTCGTTCAGTAATTCAAAATGACATGTTTGTTTATGTTTAGTCATTAAAGAGAATTGCATAGTACAATATGGTAAGATATGTTTACCTTTCTACATCTGTTTACTATCTGTTCATATACATATTAAGTAAAATTTCATTAAAGTTAATGAAATAAGTTGACATGGTAATTTTATCTACAGTAACATGTAAAAATGAAACTCATAATAATTTGTAAAATTATAAGCAAATTAGGTAGATCAATATGGGTACCCAGAATTGTGTTTTGCTACCATATTTTTATGGTATTGTAGTCAGGATTGGAACTGGGAGAGGGGGTTGTGAATGGGAGGTGTAACACACTCAAAGAAAAATCAATTAAGCGGCCCAATTTCCCCAGAAAGGGCCCTGGAATTGCAGGAAATTTTTTTTAGAAATATATAATATATAAATATATAAATATAACATATAATATATAAATATATATAAATATATATTGCCTCGTTCTTCAGAAACCTCATCATAATTTTACATGCCAAACAAGCTTAGTACAAGAATTAGTAAAATGAAGCTTAGAAAACGAATTGTATTACATACATCCATGTTGCCTCGTTCTTTAGAAACCTTGTCAAAATTTTACATGCCAAACAAGCTTATATAGTACATGAATTATAAGTGAAATAAAGCTTAGAACACGAATTGTATTACATACAACCATGTTGCCTCGTTCTCTAGAAACCTTGTCAAAATTTTACATGCCAAACAAGCTTATATAGTACATGAATTATAAGTGAAATAAAGCTTAGAACATGAATTGCATTACATACAACCATGTTGCCTCGTTCTCTAGAAACCTTATCATGACTGGTTTTCACATAATATTAAATATCGCATTAAACTTTGGCTCGATAGGCAATCCAATAAGCTTGGATGTATGTTAGTTGATTTTAAAAACATAAATTTCAAAAGATTATGAGCTTAGATAAATAACAACCCACCGTCCCCTGACCGCTCATGGTTAAACATTTAATGTTTTGGGATGGCGACCTTCAGTCCTTCATTGAATTAGCTGTAAATTAAAACATTAAACTGCATTATTATGATACATGCCAATGGACAAATACGTCACCCCACTTAGGCATGAGGCTCGTGTGAACGCTTTGTAAATGCATATGCATTGTAGCCTCGTTCTCGTAACACGCTTTATAAGAAATATATAATAAACGAGAAAGCGTTTATTACCATTAGATACCTAAAAGTGTGTTGATAAGCGAGGCAACAGCCGAGTTTTTTGGCACACTTCATTTGAGGTTTATTATCTAATGGTAATAAGCAGCTTTTGAGTTTATTATATTATTTCTCAAACGACCTTATATTTAAGGAGAAATTTAACATGAAAGCTGAGACAGTTTATTACCGTGTATCAAGACAACGATACGGTGCTGATTTTCTTTGTG